TATCTTACTTTTACCACTAAAATTTAATACTGTATATATTTCCTGTTTTCCTATCTACTTTGTCTATAATATATGCATGTTTAACAGAACGAAATTAATACAATAATATAATTAACCATACCATTACATAGTTGCGTGCTGTCTGATAAATTGTTGCAGTTAGTATTTCAATAAAACTCTATTGGGAATTTAAGCTAGTTAAAATATTAACCACCATACATATTACAGGTATAGATAGTTAAGGAATATCATATTATTTTGAGGTTATAACCATTTTACGTACATATACCTATTTTCATTTTTTGAATAAATTTACGATTAATAGTTACGCTTTTTTAAACACTAATATTAGGAGTCAGGAGACATTTCCATGTATACTAATACAAATAATAATAGTTTATAATATAGAAAAGTAAATTAATCTATGTATTTCTGCCTTCCTTCTTTATATGTGAAAAAAAAAGAAAATATTGATAGAAATACATTTAGAAATAATGTACAAAATACGTATTCGATTTTTAATTGTTAATTAAAAATTAACTCATTTAACATTTTTGTTCACCCTTTATTAAACTTAGGATTTTCTATGTATTTATATTTTGGTATGTTCAGCTAAGTCGTTTTAATATGGTTTCTCAATCACAAATACATTTTAACATATTCCTTTTAAATCAATAATTCCATAATATAGTTATTATTTACAATAATTAAATATTGAGTCATTGAATTTAACTCCATGTACAACAATGTATAATATAACGTTGAAAATAAAATTCACTAATCTCATCTAAAGTGAAAGGTGAAAAGTTTTTGAGACATTTTTATAAATATATTATACAGTATTATAATATATAATACTGTATTTGAACACCTAACAATATGTACCTACGCACGTCATCTTGAATATACAACTGCTAACAAAACATATTAAATGAATTGAAACGGACATTATTTTGCTCCAAAAATTATCAATATTCTGCCCATCGTACTGACTATAAGCTAATAAAGTGATATATTTTCTGAAAACATATATTATTTTCTTATGTATTTTTCCTGATGTGAGCTATTATAATATAGTCATAATCAAGAATTAATAAATAACAATAATAAAATTAATTAATTAAAATAAATGTGGTAATGAGTAAAAATATGGATAATAACTAATAATAATGGATAATTTAAAATATTGATTTCCTAAAGATAAATAGGTCGATAGTTAAAAGTTTTATTTTTAGTACAAATATGTGCATGTAGAAATTACTAGAGTAATGCGTTTAAGTTGTACAGCTGTAATGACAAATTACCATTTATTACAAAAACAATCATATGGCTCATACGCACTTGGCACGTATCTACTCTTCGTGATACCTTTTTTGGACACCTTGAAAATGTTTTCATTAACGATTTCCATAATAAACCTTACCTATCATCTCACCCATTTAAACAGTCTCCGTTACACAACTAAATCTACGTCAAATAGAAATATAGGTAATTGTGGTGTCACACACGCATTCGCAGTTAATTGTCTTTAAAAATAATAATAATAATAATAATTTTTCTTATTTGGTAATCCAACAAGAAACGACACAGCTGGTTGTTCGCGCGACCATAATATCACTGCTACCAGTTGTTTTCCCCCGATGATAATCCGTCCGTCAAACTCCCGTTCACCAAAGTTATATTAATATTTATATAACATAATACGAAATACATAATTAATTATTGGCGTAGTCGTGTTTTATTGCAGCTATATACTTACTTACATCCCGCGAGTCGATCCCACGTCGGAACGTCTTCCTGGTCTCGGTCTTAAGGTGTCAAAGTTTCGTGGGTTTTTGTCCGCCGCCACCGCCGTTATTAGCGTAGTCGTGCCCACTGTGCGTACACGATTCATCATCTTCAAAACTCTCTATACATATTATTACACCGTACGCATGTACCATCCAACCACTCACACCTCTCAGCCAAGACGGTTCGACTTTCACGCACTATACAATTTAATAAATCAAAACAACATTATGCATTATAATAGCACCTCTATACCGTCATTCTCGCCGTTCTGCGGTGATCCTACTCCAGATGCATACGACGATGGATTTTTCCCGTGTCCGATTTAAACCCAACGCCGACCGTCAAATTGACGTAGTCGAACTTTGTATTCGTCATTTTTTAAAAAAATTTTCATACCAAGACGCATGATGCCGACAACTACGTCGATCGTAATATTTTTTTTATATTCAAGTAGTGTAAAACAATGCCAAACCTACAATATTTTATTATAATCATGCGCACTTTAAAATCTCACGACGCAATAATGACATAACATTAAACAAGTTCTTACCGTATGGTTTCATCAATGCCACAACAATTAAAATAAATAAATACAACAATACACGATGACAAGTATGATATTGTATAATAATGAATTTTATTTTGAAATCATAAAATTTCCGTTAAATTTTTAATCACAATATCGTATAATATAATATTATAACGTACATATGAGTGAATGAGTAGTAATATGTATTTGTGTGTCACCCAGCGGTATAGCTTATATCGTAGTACACAACATCACACGCTTTATTAAAATATCGTTGTCGTACATACATACACGCACGAGCACGCGCAAATCTCTCGTTTGGAACAAACGTGCATTTCTAATAATAATGCATTTTTGACTCTGTGTTTTCGCTTAGTGTAAAAAGGGATTAAATCCGGTGACTGCGCGAACTTATATCATCAAAAGACGACCGGTGGAAGGATGTGTATCGCACGTGCCGGCGTCTTCGACTACGACGACGGTATAAAATAAAAATAGTAGTCGGAATTTTTGTGCGCAACGTCGTTGTACGTTATTCACTTACACAAAGGTATTGTATGTGTGAAAGTTGAATAATAACGTAAAAATGACGTAATGGATTTTCGCTGGAAAAAAAACGTACACAATATGTACAATATTATAATATAATAAAAGCGCTCGATAAGAATACACAAAAAAACGTGGAGAGACTTTTTTAATCAGAGAAAAAAGTCAGGAAACACATGACTTTCGATCGGGCCATCGTTTTTGGTCATAATATACGCGATACGTCAATAAATCCTTTAGGTATTGCATCAAATCGGAAAAGTTTTCAACGCTATTAATTATCATCCTTTAAACGAGCATCCATATTTTCTGATTTTTCTTTCGTAAAATAAAGCAATATACGAGTACCAACGAGTTTTTTACTCTAACCAGGTCCGTAAGAAGACCTACCATTCGATCACTAAAATGTTTATCAACGATCGAGCGAGAAAAAAATATTAATGAAAAATCGATCAAATATATATAGTTAATTTTGAAATGTAACAATGAAGTATAATTATATAAATAAATTTTATTAGCCAAATTAAAAAAAGATTTTAATATGGCTAAATCATTTTAGTTAATCAATTTATTGATAAAACAAAGTATTACAAGTTGAAAAAATGATCATATTTATGGTTATAATTTCGATGAATATCTACCCCCTTCATAGTGAATGAAATACGCGTGATATCGATGTTAGGATATTATTAGGGTTAACATGACTAATATCGGAATAATATTAATACCGAATTTCGGTATTATTTATACCGAAATATCCTAAATGAAAGACTATACATATAACTCAGTCAGCATATTCGCGTGTATACACTGTTCGTGTTATAATATGATGATTCGACTTAACTGTATTTCCGGGTTATATACGACAATCGTATCGTAACACAATTATTAATACTTATTTCCCGATCACAGAGATACTACGTAATATACACTACACACACTGGGCCACACATGCACACACTTATTAATATATAATGTTAATTATTAAATACATTAAACATGTACGGAGAGAGAAAGAGAGAGACAGATAATAGACAGATTAAGAGTTGAGATAGAACACTAGGATATATTATCATACATATTTCGTAAAAATAAGGATCTAGGACGTTTAGCAAAATGTCAATTCAACGATGTCCGTTTCGGCGAAAATTAATAGTAAAAAAAAAATTGTAATATAATGTAAAATTGTATTTTATAATGAAATAAATACCATATTCATTTAAATTCATAAATAAATCAAAATAATTATAATTATTTATAGTTAATGTAAGCGCTGTCGAGATCTTAGCTGGTAGTTGGCTCAACAACTCACACCGTACAATGGTTAAAAAAAAAAAAAAAACAAATATTATATATTCACACAAAAGTTCAATAAATGAGGTGACTTATAAATTATTATATAAATAATACCAAATAACGGTTTATAAATAATAATAATAATAATAATAAAAGTATAATATTTAACTATTAATCGATATTAGATATAGATATATAAATGCGCTCTGACTATCAAGAAGTTCTCTTAACAGCACATACAAATCGCATGTAAATAATAATAATATAAAAAATTATCGATCCCGGTGATAGGCTAAAAGTTATCTGACTGGTCTACAGCCAGATCAACCACAAATTATCGATTATCGTAATCATCTTATCGTGTAGTAACAATAACAACACTCTCTGTAAAGTGAGACAAAACTGTATATTATAGATATTAGTTCATCGCTATGAGTATATAGCCGAATTGATTACAACCCAAAAAATACCTTGACGTATCGCCAAAACGGATATCGTCGAATTGACATTTCGCCGATATAATATCCGCGCTGAAATGTCTCATTCCCTAAAAATAAATACAAGACATTTCGAGTACACGAGACACAAATCAAGAGCGCGTACAAAAACAGGGGAACGTTTGGGAACCGAATCGGCATTGAAATATCTATGTTACATACTATAATATAGGAACAAAAATAGTTATTATATTTTGAAAAAACGTCACGAGGGTACATATATTTAATATAATATAATATGTGTCTGTTGGGGATATTTTTAAGCAATATCAAACGTTATTTTTTATTCGCCGTAAAAAATAAATAATTTTTCTTAATTTTAGAATTTTATACGCGGATCGTAACATAATATATCAATAATGCAATAATAATCGTTAAAAAAATATTTTTATGGGTAAAACAATATTATATTAATCGCAAATCTTGGCGGAGGACGAGTATGTTTATGGTATCACCCTGTCGACATAAAATAATGAATTCGTGTATAAAATAACGGTTTTAAAACAATATCAAAATGGAAAATACATTTTAGTTGGCCAATACGTTGACGATTAGACGTCGCTACCCACTCGTTAACATAATTTACCCTCCAAAGTACAGCAACATAAAATATAATAATAATAATAATAAAAATAATATTACAACAATGTTAAAAAAGTAAAAATAAATAAATATAATAATACGATTTTGATGTAAGTACGCAAAATCTTTTCGGGAAGTACGCTTATATAACATATTATTTTATATATATTTATAGGTACCTATATAATATATTTCAAATGAATGCGAATTATAAAATTTCAAAAAGAAAATAAATTTTGGCACGTAATTAAGATTAAAAATTGAAAAAGGACCATTTATTAGAAAGGAATTTGTATAATGTTATATTATAAGGCTATTTTATAAATATATGTCAAAAGTGTAATACAAAACGAAGTAATCTCATAATGATAAATTACTTATACGATTTTTGGGCGAGGGAAATTATATCTCTAATCTCTATAAGATATGACCCTCCCGGCTCCCACAGTATCTGCGCATAAAATAATTATTATTTTATTATTTCAGTGTAACGTTTTGTTGGTGTCCTGGTGAGGTTTACCTTACAATGAGTAAATATTATTATATACGAAAAGATCGGTTAAAAACGGAACGGAACATTACATTAGACACAGGTACCAATTTGGAAATTACTTAAATATAAATTTTGGCTGACATTTTTCCCCCTTGAATTCCACGTACAAAACAAAATCTACAAATCCTATATATTATCATGATCTCTTCATAAAATACTATACAATCAGTCTCGTTCCACTTGCAAAAAGGGTAAAAGCACGAAAATATTTTCAGTCTCGACACAATTGAATGAGCTCGACAATTCATTACGTTTTATTGTCCACGTGGGAGCAGCGCGATTTGATCCTCTCTAAATTCAGACGTTCGTGACAGGTCTCGTCGAGAGTGTTTCAGATTGAATTTTATTTAACACAGTCTCGACAAAAAAATGTCTGGACAAACTAAACGAGCACTAGTAAATTACTTTTACATACACACATATTTATTATTCAAACGCGATTTGAGCGTAAATTGAAAAAAAAACTATTAGTCCTTCGCGTTGTCGCATAAAAAATCCGTCCACCAGAATCTATATAGTAGTAACTTTGAGTAATAATTTGAGTATACTTTATTATAATATTATATGAGATCAGGTTTTATTTAATAAATATGATTATATGTATGTTTCTGTAAATAATCTGAGATGTAGGAAACACACACGCACGCACACGATCGACTTAGATGAATTCCCACATAGACTTGTAATGATTATCTGTAATAATATCATAGTAGGTATGTATATATATTATTATATTTATCAATAAAAAATAATGTTTAAATTAATATTTATATATGTATATTATATTATATTTTAAAAAGGATAGTTTGAAAAAGGAATGATTCTGTTTATCGAAGATTTATATTATATCGTTATGCGTATAGGTATGTAATAATGGCATATAGTGTAGGATATAAAAAAAATGATAACGTCAATGATGACGACTTATGGGAAGAATACTAGAAATACGATCGTTGTAACTATATATGTTTGAACAAAGAATTTAAATGAATAACATAATATATCGTACTATAATACTATATCATACGGTGTGCCAAACGGTGAACGGTGGGTTGACGAGTGTCAGTTGCGTAATATCTAAGGAGAATCCCGGGGAACAGTCACTAGAGGGAGCGGGATACTCCTACTCAGTTAATGGTATGAAAAAAAAAAAATGGAAAAGTATAGATTTTATTATCGTTATCCATTGTCAGCTCTCGTACGTCCGTCTGAACGGGACGTTAAGAGTTTTGCGCTCGAAAACCATAACTCGGAATTGACGCCACGGTGCTTAAGCGTGCGGCGGCGCTGGTCCATCGTTGGTCTTACTGATCGGGAGGAAGACGGGTTTTTTAAATATCTGTGGCTTGGCCTTGAGCGGCGGCTTGGTCGACTTGGGTGGCAGTTCGGGCTTGTCGCCGTTGGCCAGCTGTGGCACCATCGCGGGCACCGGTTTGCTGTACTTCTTTAATGTACACTGATTCTGCTTAGCGAAACGCTCGGCGGCCGTGCCCATATCCGGGCTGTCGGGTTCTTGGGTCGCGGCTGCCGCGACGCCCGCGTCCTGAGGCGCCGACAGGCCGCCGCCAGAAGTCCTGGCTGGAAGATCCATGACCAGGTCCGGGGCGCCACCGGGAACCTTCATGTCGGCGATGCAGTGGTGTTGTTGAAGCTGGTGTCGGACGGCAGGCAGCGGCTTCCGGTCGATGGACCCCTGCGAATCGGCCCGCTTCCGCCACAGCTGAATCTTGTGGTCGAACGAGTCATCGCCCAGGCTCAAGCTCTTGGCGTGAGTCCTAGCCCGCGAACCGTCATCGTCCCCGCTACCGCTTACGCCGCAGCAGTCCGCCGACTTTGACCGGTTGTGATGTTCGCGGGCGGCTACGAGTGGCGGCGACGACGTCGAGTATGTCTTATCTCCGCGCCTCCGCCGCCCGTCCAGGATTGACGGTGGCTGCCTGTATGCGGCCCTCGTGCTACCGTCGTGCAGCGGCGACTGCTCGTCCACCGCCGAGTCCTTCCCCGAGTCCAAGCTGTCGGTGCTGCCTATCTGCAAAACGTCACACGCACACGCCCGTCCACGCCTGTTAGTTTCTCAAGTCATCACGATAACATTACATGATTGTAAAATTAATAACAACAACAATAACAGTAACAGCCATAGCCATATTAAACGTCTAACGCTACTATTGTACACGCTTATCATTATATTATACCACTCACTTATGATGTACAATAATAATAATAATATAATTAAAAAAAAAAAACACTAATAAACGCATTCCAAAACACGACAGTTAAACCAATATCATTTCACCGGCAAGTATAGTGTACAATAACAAGTACTATTCACAGTGACTATATGTCTGTAAAAATTTGATCGCAACAAAATGCATAGAAAACGATTTTACGTTTACATTTAAACGGTCGATTTGAATAATAAGTTAAAAATGGCTAAGAATTTATTGACATACTAAGTTATTTTAAATTTACAATTTGTTAATATGACACAATATGTAAATTTTGTAAGTAAAATATTATCTTTTAAAGAAAATAATAATCAGAAAATCACGTTTTTTTTTTGTAATTTTACTGGTAACATTATATTGAACTTTCATATGAAAGGATTCACCTTTCGCATATTTCTAAATACAAGAAATATTCGAACGTTAATAAATTATTTATGAAAACTAAATGGTATTGGAAATTCAAAATCTTATTATAGCTACAACGTAGTGAACGGTTGTCTTAATGATATTATATTAGCGTGTAAATAAAATTCAAACAAACTCATCTAAACATCTAAAAAAGCAAAACATGCAAAATGATTTGAATATTTAACTAAAAAAAAGCCATTTCTTATAATTTACGATAAATTTAGGATAATACTAAATTGCAAACTGTATCACGTGCTGTGCGGTATATTTATGTTCGAAAACTTTTATTCTCAAACGATATAGCCATATAGGTACAACAGAAATAATTTGCAGGAACAATCAGCGTCTAATGGTAATAAAGCGCATCAAATTATAATACGCGTGAGATATACAATTGTGTTCAAATTCCTTTTTTCTTTAATATTGCAATTATTCAAAATCTGATTTTTCAAATTTTTTTAATATTTAAGTAGTTAAAAAATTTATTTAGAAATGCTTATAATTGCACCATTTAAGGAGTGTCCAGTAGTATACGAGTAATGGTTCGGTATTAACTTCCATTTTCAAATAAAAACTACATTTTTCAACTTAAAATTATTAAGTTGATATCTTTTTAAAAAATTTTGATATATCTGAATCCAAATTCAGAAGAATAATTTCTCTAACTTATTAAACTTTAAGTATTAAGACTATATTCCATGATATAATAGCCACCCAGAAGCCCGGTTATGGTTATACTTAAAAGTTAAGATTGAAATAAATGTATTTACATTTAATATTTGTTTAATTTTTATTAGTTATAATTTAGAAAATGATTTTAAATTAACATAGATTGTCTACGATAATTTTTAAATAAATTAAAAAGTAGACTATATCTCCTTGTTCTAAATAAATATTTAAAAGACAAAAAGGTCTCATTAGAAAAAAAAACAGAAGTTTGTGTTATCACAGAACACTTTTTAAATGGTACAAAAATCTTAAGTATTTAAAAATATTGTTTTTAAATAAATTTGAAAATTCCAGATAATAAAATTTTAATGACAGCAGTATTAAAATCAAATGGGGGAGGGGGTTGAGCACTGAGCGTATTAAATAAAAGTCACCCTATATTTTATAGATATTTGCAAGCTAAATATTATACGGTATATTATAGACAAAACGAGCAACATACTAAGGGTACTCAATAAAATGCCTTCTGCCGAGCTTAATTATGGTATAAAAAGATTCGATAAGTATAATAAATACTATACGCACGCCTACAAATCACATAGGTTTACAGACAATACAAACAATACCATAATCGTGCAAAAACAGATGCCTCGTGCAACTAGTATGTAAAATGATATAATTTTATGGAGGATTATTATTAATATCCATATTTTGTCAAACGTATCGGCGGCACTTATAATACATGAAATAGAGAAATACGCCTATATCTATACACATTGTATTATTGTATTACATTATTCGTGAGTAGTGATTAAACAAACGACGCATTGTTGTGCCATCCCGACGTTAATCTGTTGGTTTCGTGATGGCGATAGAAACCTTGTAAATCATTTTCAAAATTCAGATCGACTGTACGGCAGCAGCGTAGTAACAATTTAACGATAATCAGTTTACTTCATGTTGACGTTGAATGGGTGCAGTCCTTGGCTTTATAAAGATTATTCCTGTAGCTCTATACACATTACATTCAGATTGGCGTGATGCAGCTGTAATTTCAGTCTTGCGGGGGTCACGTGTTTCTAAAAATATAACTTTTTTTAATTTAAATTGCAAGACACGTGTCTTTTCAAAGGTCATAGTGAAATAATTTAAACTCCGTGTATGCATAATGTTTCAACGTTTCCTGAAAAATATTAAGACGTCCTAGATACGCGCATTTTGGGGAACAAGATAATACAAATATAAATTAAATTAAAAATAATATAATGTCGACTGTCGAAAATTTAGTGGTTCTGATGCGATTCCTATCTTGTTAGAGGTATTCGACGCTCTGAAATACACTATACGGTTATAGATCTCGTTTCGACACGAAAAAATAGAAACGATCGAAGTTCATTAACGATATAGGGTACTAATCATATACAACGGTAAATGACGGGATACAGTTTCGTCTGATAATCCTAATTGTGTATTGCAATCCAGTCAATCCTTATCAAAGTGTAGACGTTCTGACTTCAGTTGCAAATTGACAACCTGACATCACTACTGCCACTCGTTGTGACCTCATGTTCATTATTTAGTGTGTGATTCAAATGTTTCAAATTCCCAAGTGACATTGCAACGTAAGAAACTTTTGACAATATAATGCATAAATCATCGAGAAGATTGCGAACATGTATAGTTTCAAATAAATTCAAATACGATGTATATGTTGTACGGATTGATTTACCAAGCACCCACCTACATTTTTTCCTTCAGTAATAAGGTTATTCAAAATCTAACTTTTAAAACCATTAGGAGAACATTTTTTTCAAATTTTAAGATCATTTTATACCATTTAGGCATAGTGATACAAACTTGTTTTTTGTTCAAATGAGAACTACACTAAATGATAGCCGATAACTTTAAAACAATTACAACGGATAATTTTTTGAATTTAAATTAGTATAGGTACTAAAAATAATAAGTCCATGCAAAGCTAGATTAATGGCATTTTTAATTTTATAGTATTTAAAATCACAGAAATTGGAATGAACCAAAAATAATTGTTTTTTTTTTTTTTTTTTTAGTAGGAATATCGCGTATAATAATCAATAGTTATTTTTATATACTATATTATGTCTAGTCATATTATTAAACATTATTATTTTATCTGTTATTACAAAATATTTAATTAGATTAATATTACATATTACACATTCTATTTTGTATTTTATTTAATTTTATTTTCAAGGCCTATAATTATCTGTCACGTAAAAAATTAATAACTTAGACACTCATTTTTAGAAATTTTATTTAAACACTAAAAATTGTTAAGTCTTTTGCATAACAATTTTCATTGAAAAAGGTTGGTCTCATTTGAAAAAAAAAAAGACACTATATATTATAATCTTACAATGGTATAAAAAATCTAAATAATTTAAAATTAATTAATTATTTAAATCAAATTTTGAATAAATTCATTATTATATTAAAATATATGGGTAAGCACACTTGATGAATAACCTTGTATATTTGGATATATTTTACATTTACTGTTCTTGCAGATTCTTCAAACAAGTTTTTTACTCTATAAAATTACTTTTCGGCGTTACAACTATTGAGACGCCATTTGCTTAATTATTTTTCAACTGTGTATTTTTGTTAAATTGCTAATGATTTTTTTTCTTCTATACCTATTCATTAGATATAATCGGATTCTTGAGCGAATAATCAAGAAGTCGTTTAAGCAAGTTTTCAACCAGATTATTTAGATTTACCTATAAAAAACTCGAATTCTTCTGATCATTATTACTTCTCTGCTCCGAACAAACGTCTATATTATAATAAGGATCGTTTAATCTTCTTTTTTTGTTGTTCTTCTTATTTTTCTTATTCTTCTCATCATTATTATTTAGCAACCGCTTACGTTATCGTGCAATTTATATATATATCGCGGTAACATGTATTTCATCATAAGCTATTACGCGTGAAAGTAAATGCATCAAACACGATTTTTACCAAACACTCGAATCACTTTGATCACGATTAATCCCAAGTAAGTACGTTATAAATTGAGATTGCGGTTACATCGTTTTTGTCGATCAGCATTCGGCTGTATGGTCCAAGTAATATTAGCGGTCAACGTTTGATATTATTTCTTTCTAAAGGCAAACGTATACTATGTACTCGAATGCAATTTTTTAGTTCATTAACCGTACACGTAAATGGGAGTTCGCATGTTCATGCAAAATGCAACCGTCGACCAAAGCATTAGCTCTATATAACTATAGTGAATAATAAGAAACTGACATAAATATTATAAAATAAAGACATATCGTTTAATAGTAATAAAAAAATATTTTTACAAATAATATAAATGTATATATACCACCTATATAATATACTCTTAATTATATATTTTTCGTAAAATTTTATACGCGATTTACAAAATGTGTTGCGTAAAACAATTATAATAAAAAAATATTTGTAGATATAAACCTAAAAAGTCCACGAAACATTAAAATGTTGGAACACGACTTACTCCTGTGACTATATACTGAGATAATATTCTACGATTTAATTACATCAATATTGTAATTAACTATATAACACTGTTTAAATTATATTTAATCGTATATATATTTATAAAAATCTATTGGTAAAAATAAATTAAAACTACTAGGTAATAATAAATAATAATAGCAATTAAAAAAAAAAAAATAATAATAATAATACAGTAATATTTACGTTGGTAAAGTGTGTCGTTTATATTATATAGTATAAATAATGTACACTAATATCTGTTTTGCAGTTAACGAACTGCAGTGAGCTTAATTAATTTTCGGATTCTAAAAGCGGACTAGCAAAAGTGAGCAAGAAGCCTCACAGAAAATGCAAAGCTCGCGAGCAAGCGTTGTAGGATGAAAATAGTTTGAGAACAAGTAATCAAATCGTAAAAATAAAGTTTAAAAATAGATTTCATGCTTAATAAAAAAAAAATTAAAAAAATAACACTAAACAATACAACAGTAAGTACGTATAGGTGATAAAAAACAATAACAACGTTCCCAGCTGGAATTTTCAAAGTAAAACACACATACGCACACTCAAGACAATTGTAATAATTTATAGATAAATACCTCTACGCGTAAACAAAACAAAACATCTACGTATACAATATATTATCATTTTTTCACTCAAGTATAGGTACATAAAATTAAAATTTTTATGTACGGTATGCACGCGAAGTCTACGATAATATTATATAATTATTATAAAATTATTAACTACACAAATAAAATACAAAGGATACGGAAGAAGAGAATTTCAAAAAATAATTTAAGATAAAAAAAAAAAAATAATAAAAATAAAAATTATAGTTAAATTTAAAAGAAAAAAAAACGTTTTCAAACTACGATAACTCTATAAATAGAGTAAGAATAATAATAAAAAAAATAATGTTGAAAAACTGGCAGAACAAAACGTAAAATGCATTCGACTCAGACGGTGGTCTCAAGTACCTCGTGAGTGGGCGTGTCGGCCACGGCGCTTCGGTGTGGCGAAGACGATGCCGAATTCCTGCCAGCGGAGTTCCCGGAGCCTGCAGAGTTCGGCGGCCATGGCACATCAGCCAGCGGCGGCGATGAGTAACCGGATGCTGCGGACTCGGACAGCACCGAATCGTTAGAGCTGGATGTCCGCCGTCTGGTCGAATCGTCTGAGGACGTGATGGACTTGGCGCAAAGTTCGGTCACGGGTTTTTCGCGTTCTTCGTCCCTGTGCACAAACAAACAACCACAAGTTCTGATAAATGTATTTGTATGAGTTCGAAAACTTTGTCAGGCACAGTAACATAGTAATGTATATTATACTCGATTTAGGTTGATACTTTGGTTTAGAGTATGTTTTGATCGTATGACATACGGTAGATATCAAGTTAAAAATAAAATAATAACCGCGTCTGAAATGCACTTGGATACTACGGTGCTATAAAAATCTGTCCCGGAAAAATGTTATATGTTGTATAAAATAATATTATCGATAATTATTGAATGACTAGAATACAATACAATTATATACTTATATTAATAGAAGATGTTTGAAGTTAATAATTGAATTATACTATCAGGACAAGATAAATAAAAATAAAATGTTATTTTGCCTTTAGATTAACAATAGTTTTCTACGATAGAGCTTTATTTTTAAAAGTCCCTTTCTATAGTTATATTAATGATTGTTGAATTAGGACGTTTACCTGATCTTAAGAAGAATATATTTGTCAGGTATAAGTCCTTCTCGACCGTTAACACAACCGCGCCACCAATCTCCAGAAACCTGTGTATGAAGAGCAATAGTTTCACCCTTCTTGAAACTTAATTCCCGTTCTGAACGAGCAACAAAATCATGCTGTGCTGTAGCTTCAAGACTTTCGCATTCTAAAATTAAAATAGAAACATTTTAAATAATGCATAGCAATATTTTAACACAATTTAATAGGTATATAATTAATTAAAGCTCTTTTCATAGGAGAAAAACCATCCTAAAGAGATCTGATTTTTTATTTATTTTTAGCTTCACGGTCTTTACGCTTGTATAAAAAAAAAAAATGCGATTTTAATAAAATAATATTTTAATATAAAATATGTATTATTTTTTTCAATGTAAATACTTTTTTAATGTATGAGTTTGTTAGATGTAGTTTTATGACTGGCACATTTTTCTGTGGCGCTTGTATACAAAATATTTATTTAATTGTTTATATTTTATGATAATGTACTTTTGTAATGTATTCGTTCTAGACCGAAACGTGTGTGACTGCAAGGAAATAGACTGGATTCATTGTTATAAAAAAGTTTTAAAACAGTTTTATCAGCCATTACCTAATAACAATAATTTTGAATCTCAAGTGACGCACGACCAATTCAAAAATTAAGGCAACCACTTTAATTATCTCTATCATAATATTTTTTTTCTTGTAAGCTATGTATGACTCACTAAAAAATGTAACCACATTTTAGTAACAAATAAATTATTTAAACTTTATAAATAATATTGAATTATAATATTGTCCTTAAATAAATAGGTATTGTAAATAAAAATAAAATATAGTCAGGATATTACAGAGACTGAATATTGGACACTCGTTTCACTTCGGTTATCTTGTCTAGAACTAGTTTTGAACCCTTTAATGCATTACATTACATCTATCTTAATTTAAAAACAAAGATAAATATATATTGCAGTTGATAATAATTTTTAAATGGATAACTTTGATGAGTAAAGTGATCAATGAACACAGACAAATTTAAATATTGATAGTCTTAAAAAAAACGTAGTTAATGATCAACAATTTTTAAAATAAATTTATTATATGATAATAATATAATCGAAATTTGTTCGCTAAATTAAAAAAAACTGAATAGTGTGATTGGTAATATTTCTTTAAAATAATATATCATGGTAATTTCCAAATTTAATGGTATTATTGTGTTTAACAGCAATACATTTAATAATATATTCTTAAAACGAATACAAATAATACAATAACATATAAGTAACCTTAATGCCTTGTAATATTTTTTTTTGAATTAGAACTTAGAAACTGAATTCAAATCAAACAATTGAAAAATTCAAAGAAAAAAGTTTATAAATTGTATTATACCTAACCTACTATAAAATAGAGTTAAATGAATCATTTGGAAACTTTAAAAACAATTGTAAATTAAATTCATTTTTGGTGTTATCAAAAATATAAAATTAACATTAAAATTGATGAATTATTAAACAATTGACAACAAATATCAATAATACTTTAAAATAATATTATATTTAAAAAAAAAAAAACTATACGGAATATAAAGAAATTATGATGAATGATAATACTTAAACGTTTCGTCTTCAGTAATTACGTAGAAAATCAATAATAAATCATTATCTTAAATTAGTTATAAACACGAAAAAGATTTTTTTATCTATTACAATATATATCTCAAGTTATTACCAAGTATCAACGTGATTTGAATGACTTGACTTACTATCGATGTTACCCAATTAAATTTATAATGTAGTACTACCATAAATCGTGACTCATATTTTCAAATCATTTACGTCAAGTCCAACACCAAATCGCTATGCTTCGTTAGTTTTCGTATTTTATAGAATGTTATTTGATCTCATTATATTCGGTTTCGCTTCGTTGGAATCAATAAAACACGTTTTTGTTGTGCTTTGTTTTTTTTTTCAGTTGTTTCCTTTGACTAACAATGAGTTTTATACCTAAACCGCTACATACCGTCTTCTGATGGGTAAACCTCAGAGTCGATGTCCTCTTGGGCATGGTCAGAAGGTGAATCGCCCACGTCCACGTCATCAGGCTCGCGGGATATGTACTTTTCATACACAAGCCCGCCAATATCCGACAGCGACGGAAATATGTCTTCGTGGAATAGAATAATATTTTTTATGAGATCGTTGACCAGGTTCTGGTACTGAACTTGGTCTTTTTCTTCGGGAACCGGCACTAATGTTGGACCAAAACAAATAGCCAAATTGTAAACATCCATCATGTTTTCATCGCTGAACTCGGACAAACTAAAATAATATGCAAATGTTGAATAAATTATCACCTGTACAACTACCAAGCGTATAAACTTACTGATTTAGGAACGCAAATAAATATCTCAACATAACAACCACTTGATTTGGAAAGCTTTGAACAAGTTCTTTAATCTTCAACACAAATTTATGACGTGATTCAAGTTCTAAAAAATATAAAGACTTTTATATAAAAAAATAACATAAACACTTGACAATAAGCTAATTGTACGGTATATGAAAAACAACTTCATAAAATTAAACTTGAAACTATAATATTATTCACACAAATTATAAGAATCGTTAATAATTAAAATTTTATAGTTAATAATTATTTATGAAAGTACCTACAGAAAAAATACATTCTATGATATTTTTTCAATACCCATCCTATACATGATATATTTAAATTAAGCAGCCCGTTAAACACATTTATCCTATATGCATATTTAGTTAAATAAATTAAAATATATTATCCTAATTTTAATTTTATTTAGTTCTTAATTTTGATTATACATAATATTTAAATACATATATTGATACATATTAGATTATATATCAAATATAGTTCCAAAAATTAATTTCATAAAAATATGGATAAGTAAATCATTTTAAACAATAAACTAAGTTAATACACCTAAATGTAACTTTAGTAAGTACACTATATATTTTATATTTTTATGTATAGGAAATGAATAGTTTAATTTATGGAATTTATATTTATTAGACAAATACGTTTGAAAACTATTTTAAACCATATAATTTTCATTTTCATTTTTTTACAATTATTAAACAAAAAATATTATTTGCATATTCTAAAAAATAAAAAACTATGCTTACGGGCAAGTTCCATAAATTGATCGAAATAGATAATCGGGAACAGAGGTTCTCGCAGTTCACGCAAGTATAATTTCAACACTCCAGCGACGGAGTTTATGTCAGAAGCGTCTGTCATGTCGGCAAGCGGATCTTCGCCCCTTTCGAACGCGTCTTTAAAATTGTTAATTTCCACTTGCGAGCCAGACACTCTAAAAATTCCTTGATGGTGAAGTCCTGTGGGAAAAATATCGGATTAACAATGAAAACTATAACAAATATAATAACTAATATTACCGTATAAGTTTATCACTCGAATACAGCTTTTAACGACCAGTGGTATCTCTTGATTTGTTGCATCCAAATATTCTTCCAAAGATCCACCGAACAATTTTGGTTGACCGTTCATCTGTAACCTACCAATCCTTTTTCTACGGACAATCGGTTTGTGTAACGGACGCTGAGGCGTCAGTTTAGCTGGCGTCAAATCGACATTGCCATTTTGGGGACGCTTGCAACATATGGATGTTAACGTTTCGTTTATGTGCTGTTGTTTGGCATCTAGACGTACAATTCTACTCGTTCTCATGAGATAATCGCGTAATTTCTACAACAAAGAACAAAGGAGAAATATAAAAATATTCCACATGTGTGCAGCATTAACAATAAATATAATGTTTAATTATTTTAAGATGTCTTGACGGAAAATAAATATAAAGTGTATACATAGTGTATATATTTTATAATATATGTATGTTATCTATTTATTTTATACACATATTAGACTAAAATCTTAAATATTCTTATATTTTCAGTAGTATGACATTATACTTACGGTTAGATAAAATTCTTCAGTCTCATGTTTGTCAGCTCGCAACTTAATACTAATGGTTTCAGGTGGCTTGCTTGTTGGAATTGCCTTTTCGCCGAAATAATTACTACAATCGTAATCGTTTGCAGTAAGCATCTCCAAAAGAGTTTTTTCGGCAGTAGCCAGTGTTTTCCACACCTCGTCAGACTCCGTGTGCAGACTTGTTACTCTTTGATTCAGCTGTTCTAACCTCGTTTCCATATCAGCGCAGAGCAATTTTTGCAATTCTGGTTCCGCATACTAAAAAAGTGGAAATAAGTATGTTGTAAGAAAAATACAAGCAATATTTTAAAATACACAGTAATCACCTCATCTTTTTGTCCTTGAAATTCAAATTTCTTAGGTATCATAAACGCGGTATGATTAAATTCTAAAAATCGTTGTTTGTCCACGCCAGAGTCCATAGCTGAGACAACAAGATTAGTAGCATCTAGGCCAGCTTGCATGGAATGAATACGGCCTTCTTCCGCCGATGTCTGCATCTTTAAAGCTTTCGTCACGCAGTGGTGAAATCCAAAATCCATGCAATCCATTAGATCGGATAAGTCATCGACAAAATATTTATGCACTGTACTATTGGTTGCTTCCAGACACAGAATATATTCATTGCGTGCTTTCAATGCTTTTAGTTTAGCATCAAAATATTTGTTCTTTCTCTAAATTATAAATAAGAATTACAACGTTTAAAACACAATTAAAATTTCAAAAAATAAAAATATATTACTTTTTGAACTTCTTTCCCAATAAGTCTAACTTTTTTCGACTTATCTAGTTTTTCTTTAGGAACTGCCTGTTCGATTTTCAGTCTTTGATTTTCAGCCACTTTAAGCTTCGCTTCTGCCTGTTTGGCTTCGGTCTGATACGACTGATACGTTTTCATCGTGGTATGTAGTTCATGGAGAACCCGTAATATTTCCTCGTGGATTTCGTAACAAATCTCCCGACACTAATAGTTATAACAATAAATAATTAGTTAAGTTTACGACCTAGCAAATATTACATTGAATTAATTTTCTATACTAACTCTTTTATATATCCTTTGCACATCTTCTGTGACCTGAGACAATCTGCTGACTAGATGAGTAGAATAAAGCTCACTAAGCGCTCCGTGATCTTTACTGAGATTTTTCGTTTGCAACACCAGTTGCTGCCAACACGAGTAGCTAGTAAACAACGACCACTGTTCTCTCCTAAGTACACACAAGGTTAACGATATTATACATGCAGGTTTTTTTCAATACAAATATGAAAAAACTTATTTACATTCCTTCCTGTTAACAATAAAACACGCAGGATACACACACACACACACACCTAAACTAATGTGTTTTGTTATTGACGTGTATAGTTAGTAATACTAATTCCAAACTATATGATAATTTTTAAACATACCACACTATCTCGTATATTTTACAGTAGGTTCACGTATTAAATTATTTTCTACATTCAAATTATAATTTCCAAAGCGATGATAGGGTGTATGTGGTAGAACGCAAAAAGTAGCAAGTGAAACTTAATAATTATAATTATTTAAATTAGAACATCCTGAGATACTGTACTAATATAGAGAGTATAATGGTATAATATGATGTTAATGATCACACAATATTTTAATTTTTAAATGTATATTTTGTTTATTTTTTATGAAAGTAAATTAAAATTTTTTAATAAATAGTTAAATGTTAATATCATCTAAGTTCTACAAAATACTGTTATATATTTCAATTAAAAGTATCTATATTAAAAAAATGATATATATGTACATAATATATTCATGTATTATCTTTAATCTATTATGATTAATAGTTTATTTTTTTTTAATTGATTTTATTTTGTTAATAACAGCTTATGAATTGTGGTTTTAAACATGTGGTTATGTTTAATCTCGAAATATTAAGATGTGATTGTAGATACATAGATTATAAAACTTTAACATTTAATTATTAAAATGTAAGATATTAAACATATTTATATATATATATGTGTGTGTGTGTGTAAATAAAGCATTTACTTGATTACTTGCAAAGAGTTTTTAAGTATTTCAATAATATTAAGTATCATTTAGCGTTGATTACACTTAAATAAAAATAAAATAATTTATTGTTATTATATTAAAATATTAAATAATTAAAAATACTTAAATATGTTAGCCAAATAATTAATATATACGGGAATTTTTCTTCAATTTTTGTAACGTAAAAATAGTAATAGTAATAGTAATTTAATATTTTTATATATTTTCATACTTTTGTTTTTGTTCTTTGTGTCGAAGTTGTAAGCTTTTAGCTAACTTATCCAAGCTTTTGCTGTAGTCCATTTCTACTTCGGCCCGCCTTCTGAAGTAATCTTGAAGTTCGGATACTAAGGACACCTGTGCTTCCACTCGACTGTCTAGACATCGTAGATGTTCGTTAAGCTGGAGGCGAATATCTATAAAAGATAAAAATATTGAATTAATATTGGAACGCCTCAAACAAATCTCGAAAACAAAACAAAAAAACAACGAACAAAATAATTATTTTAGCAACCTATAACAAATAATAATTGTAATTATTGTATTATTATTTATGATTTTTCGTTACAATGAACTCTACACAAATAATATATGTATCGTGTGACTCTCCCGAATGAAAATCAAAAAACAGCTATCTTACGCAGAGAAAACAAACGGAATTAAACATTTCTAACAATAGCCTGGAATATATACACATAAAACTGAAAAATAACAACAACAAAAACGTGGACCACACAATGATCTTTTGACCTCCTATATGGTAAAATGTACACCAAATATAAATATAAATCAAGTATAAGTAATCTTGACATGAAATTTGGGATATAGTTTTAGTTTTGACATTATAGGTATATAAATGAAGAAGATACAGAAGGTATTTTAATTAATTAATTTCGTGTACAAATAAGACACAATTTAATTAATTTAAACACACCCGTCGTCCATGAAACAAAATAACGTCGTAAATCATAGTTTTATTGTTCACTTAAGAATTAAAAATATTTTATTTAAGATAGTATTTTTTGTAAACTGAATTATACAATATATATATCAGGAGTTCCAACTATTAGATATATAAATTATCTAACTGCATAATACGATTAACGTATCGTCTAGAATAAAATTCTGATGAAATATATTAACATATTATAGACATTATACATAGGTGTTAAATAATATATCTTAATACAGTCGACCGTAAAACCACGCATGTTGTTAAATAGTCAAGGATAAATGAGAATTTCATTCATTATATTTTTGTTTACTTAAGATGAAAATGACAATATTAATCATATGTCCTAATATCTTAGGTAGTGTGTCTCAGTCTAAATATAGTGGTGTCGTTCCCAATATTCCGAGGTCACCATATCTGCTTTTAAACTAAAAAAATATATATTCAAACCCCATAAATAAACGACATTAAAGACCATTTTGTTGCCGACCAATATTAGGTTACCCTTCCTTGGGTAAACACATCTGAGTAGAACAAGAGAACGTGTTTGAATAGTGAGACCCTTGAAACATTTCCGTCCTTTGGGCCGTTAGGGATGGCAGTAAATCCTAAGTGAAGTTGTCACAGTTGATCCAACAATATCAATAACCCAACAGTGGTATGCGCCAAATGTATACGAATCAAATTATTTTTAAAATGCTTTGTCGATAATCACGCACAGAATCAGTATGTAGTCAATGATAAATATTTATTCATTTATTTCAAATCCAATAAACATATATACAAAAGATTTAAAATATACTAAACCCATATGCACGCATAATGTTAATGTTTTTAAGTGTTGTCACTGATCTACAATAATGTACATATTGTGTTGATGTGGGTGGTACGCAAGTGATAGAATATGCGTCGAAATGTCACGACTAGAATAGAAAACGTGTATATAGGTATATATATAAATTGATAATAACTTAAATTGTGATAAAAAGACACAGTTAAGTGCAAAGAAATATAGTGACTGTACAATAATCAGTTTTAAGATTTCGTTGAACACAGTTCTTTTACCTTAGACCGGATAGCACGAGTTTGATGTAATTAAATGATTCCCCCTCCTCCACAATGAATCCGGTAATCAGGTGCTTCATGTAAGTTGATCTTGTAAGGCTTTATCCTTATACGAATATATAATATAATAAAATATATGATAAAAAAATAAAAATATTCTAAGATTCATCAGTGAATAGGTATAACCATTCATTAATCAAGAAAGATTTCAATACCCACCAAAAACTCGAGTATATAATTACGAGTAAAATGTTATATGCATATAGTTATTGTAAATTGTAACTAAAAATGATAACGAATAATGTTTTCTTTCATTATTGAAACACTATTATATTATACACGAACCATTGAGTGTCCATTGTGTTCATTGAATACACGTGTCAAAAAAGTATCAACAACGTACATTATAATATTTAAACAAGCGGAAAATAAACGTAACACAGATATTATAATTATTATAACTATGACAAAATATTATAAGCTGCAGATAAAATATATCCAGTACCTACGTACTCATATAATAATATGAATGCTATTATCGATTATGTTATTAATTATTATTGTTGATACAAATCGATAACTTAATGACGGTCAACCCATCATTGATATTCAGTACACGCGGTTTATTTACCGTGATAATAATAAACTTTAAATAAATGTAATTGCCTTAATATTAAATTAATACCTTGGCTAGTTCATAAAAGTATAACAGCCAAGTTTGGAAATTATAATTTTATCCCTGGTCGAGAAGTGTCTGTTCTTCTGTTAGAGGTCAAATATTCTAAATTAACGTATTTCGTAAATGTTTAGAAACACGTTTAAATGGACTTGACCTATTTTTTTGATGCCCAAACTTGTAGATTGTATAAATTATTGAATCACAGTCCCAAATGTTTAAGGTACACTTTGGTCAAATTTAAAATAATTTCAAAGCATTTGTGCAATAATAAAGAATTACATATAGAACTGTAAAAGGTAACATAATGATATTATAAACTATAAAAAAAAAAAAAAAACTATAATACTCTACATGATTTAGTTAATATCATTAAACTAAACACCATATACATATATATATATATATACATACATTATACATTGATATAAGCAACAGATTAGGGTTGAAACTATTTTTACTAAAATTATAATGTCGTAATTTTTATTTTAAAATAATTAATGCCATTTAAAAATTCCCCCATATCCGTTTAGATAATTTTAAAATCTATTTTTATCATCCCTAAGTTCTTTTCTCTTTATTAAAAACACTCTTATTTTTAGAACCACGATTTCGCATATTTTATTTAAAGCACACTCTTTGTTCAACTATTTTTTTGTAATTCACAACTACCCTATTTTAATTCTCAAGTAACCATATTCATTCTTGTAGTAAATATTGATTGTTTCGGTCTCATTGTAAACCAACTGCTTAACGAGTCGAGAAAATAATTTTACACAGATTAACCGAGTTGTATGGGTAAGCTAATAAATCAAATCTATAATATTTATTCGTCATTAAGACGACAAAACAAAGGCACGACCTTGGGGCTCATCTTGCATGCTTTTTCTCCGCCCATCGCCAAAACGCCAAAAGCATAACTACACACATTATAATACCTACCGTTCAGTGATACGAGAGCGGTTTTCGTAGTACGTTGGCGTCGATCAGTACGTCGTTTAAAAATACGCCAGCGAAACAACGATTCAAATTTTTAAAAATAGAACGCAACACGCCGTATTGTACAGCCCGTGCGGACATTTCGTAAATGCACCGTATGACATTCAAAAGCACTGCATACGTCATCATTGGCCATGCACATTTTACCAGCGGCGCGTTGAACGAGCATAACATAAATTACGTGACCGCAGGCAGTTTGATAATATTACATCCGAATAAAATACTCATAGACCCCGACTTTGCACGTCCTGTGATCCATTATCGGTCTTTTATTCGGGCCATTTGGAGACTCGTTGGGAACCCTATATAATATAACAAATTATACCGTGCTGTTTACTACCAGCCAGTCAATAATAATGGTACACCCATTGTGTTACAACACGGGAACACGAACAACGAATAATAATAACAATATTTAATTTAGATGATATCGCTTGACGAAACGTTCAACGGTTAATTTTGATAAAGGCGACATTATAATGGGGGACCACAGGGTGTAGAAAGGTGCACGTTTGTTGGTTACCAGCCTATCAACGGTTTGCCAATTAACATTTTCAAAACAAAATTAGTACTCGCTGTAGTCACACAACTTCCTCTGTATACGTCAGAATAGGTAGAGTACCCGATAAATATTAAGTAGTTATATTTAAATGACGCCGGTTATGAAGAATTTTTAATGCAATGCACAAACATATCCAATAATGAAAATAAAATTGTCTAGCAACCTGTCCAGATCTAACAGTCAATGAATAAATGTATTTCGATAGCCGAAAAATTTAAATAGTTCATATCTTCTATTGCTGAAGAGCGAATACGTCATAATACGTTATTCTATAAAACACAAGTATTTAATACTTGTGCATCGAGTTTAAAGTGACATCCTAACTTTAATTGGATAACCATGTGGTTAATTCATCAGTTTGTTACAAACATAAAAATTACTCGAGTTCATTTTCGTTAACCCTTGGTAACGTGAAACGTGTCGTGTGTATGCTGCTTATTTAAAGCGAACACATACAGAAAATCTACCGAGCTCTTTTCGTTAAGGAATACGGGTACAGGGTGGAGTCAAACAGCTATAATTAATCACCAATTCAAACAACCTTGCCATATTGAGGGGAAAAGAAGCAGCCCTTGTACGTTTATAAAATATATATATCTAATGTTCTCTGGAGTGAAAAGAGAGAAAGAAAATGAAAAAAAAGAAACGGAATCGATCAAAAACGCCAAAAGGGGAACGTCTATCGTCTATAGTCTCTGATCATGACTCACCATTGGTTTTAAAAGGAAAATTATTATTATATGTTTTTATAATTAAATGTTGTTGTCAACTTTTTTCGTAATAATATGCATCTTCGCGTTAGGTTGCGTTATATTCTTAATACGATATCATAAACTATTAAAATATTCGACACGTCATTTATATAACATATGTTAGATGTCATAAAATATTCGACACGTAATTTTTATAAAATTTATAAAATGCTATAATATCATATAAATTTAGAGCTTCGGTCATTTTTAAAAAAAATATGTTTTAATTTTAAAGTTAAATTAAATATTGAAACACATAATAACTTTGTTAGACTAGATAGGTATTGCAGCGTAATTATATCTACAACTTACAAGAAATTAATTATATACAACTCTTTGCTAGACCCTTTGGCCTTTGTACATAGTACTATACATATAATGTTATATCTTACAATAGTCAAAATGTATAA